ACGCACACACACACAGCAAGCTCTTATCTACTATTACTGTTCTACTTTGAACCATTCCACAACCCACCCACCCATAGTATTGGATACAAATCTATTGTTCTCAATATCAACATGACATTGTCCTTCATAAAATCCTATTCCGGGTATTATCACTGCATTTAGGAGTATCACTTTTTTATACCATCATGTATCATCATATAAACACCCTCTATCTTCTATCCATAAACGTTAATGATGTCCCTAGAAGCTATCATCGTCTTTTTCCCATTACTAAAATTATTACTTTTGGAAGCTTACATGAAGCTCCTACATGACCATGGCTGTGCTCGGAAATCATGCCCGGTCAACAACCGAAACCAAGAGCCAAATCAAATAGAACAAGCATTGTCCCATTGTTACACTACGTTGCGTTAAACATTTTCCTTGACGCATCCAGGAACTGAAACAATCCATTATCGACCATAGGTCACCCAATGTAACTGCTCTAAGGCAATCATTAGGTTATGGTTGACGTGGCATTGAATTCGGGCTAAATGAATAAGGAGGCAACAATCTCGGCTCACCCCACATCCGTCAAGCTGCTACTACTACTACTGCTTATCGCCAAGCTCATTGTTGTGGATACCCCATGCCAGTGTACTATCCATGTACGTTGTTGGTATTGAGTCGTTAGACAATGTACATGATGGATCATTGAAACAAATAAGGATGCAAGGAAATGGTTGGGGATTGGATGATCTACGCTGTAACATTGTCGATCGTGCAACCGTGCAGTTGTTGAAGATGAATATCACCCACCCAATTCAGGGCTGCTGATACCTCTCCCTTGTTCCTTTTTCTTTCTCTTTTTTTCCCTTTGTATATAAACCATCATTCATACTTTTTGCCATTTGACCCGCAAGGAATCAAACATGAGCTTAGATGAAGCAACTCTACCACACAATGCAAAGTTTGATATCGCTGGTTCAGGAGGTACCTATATGAGATACACTCTTCTTCGCTATCCATCACAATGGCTTACATACATTCATATGTCGATAAAGGATCAGCTTTTCGCCGATTCTCAAAAGAATCAAAAATATCAACGTCGCTTGACTCATCAATGAAACCAGCTCATCGTCATCAGCATCATCGCTCATATTCAGACTACACACATCCATTTGCCTCATTGCCAACACCCGCCGGTCTGGTACGCCCCCAGCCACGCCGAGGTGCAGTTATGCAACATCGCCGTGCAGTTTCCACCAGTGCTGCCGATCTTTTCATGCAAACATCACACCACAGTCAAATCCCTTTGTCATCATCATCATCATCATCCACTACCCTTTCTACAGCTGAAGAATCCGCTGAAAAATACAAGTGCCTTTATTGTCAAAAAGGATTCTCTCGACCTTCATCACTCCGTATCCACGTCTATTCTCACACTGGTGAAAAGCCATTTGATTGTCCAGAGCCAGGATGTGGGAGGCGATTTAATGTCCAAAGTAACTTGAGACGACATCTTCGAATTCACCGAACAACACAATCCCGTAAAAAGTTTGATAGAACAGCCATTGTTGCTATTGCTCCTGCCCATTCCCATGTTACGTAGAAATCCTTCAAGTATATAGAGTAATACAATATCCTATTTATTCCTTTTCATTGCTAGCTGCTGCTGTAGGAGAAGATGAGGATGCTGCTGCTGCTGCTGCTGCTGTAGGTTGTGATTCAGCCATTTCTTCATCCTCCTCCTTTTCTTCCTCCTCGTCATCAACATCTTCCTCCTCATCGTCTTCATCCTCTTTGCGCTTTTTAGGTTCAGGTGTGCCTTCCTCCTCATCATCTGCATCACGCTTTTGCCCCCGAGCCTCGTCCTCAGTCTTTTTATCCTTCTTGCGTTGTTTCTTGTCGGATTGCAATTGCTGATACGCTGTTCAGAGAGTCACTATACTATCCTTTCTTTCACATGAACCTCCTACATACCTGCAAATGATTCCTTCAATGGTTGAATGAGATGATCAAGCTCTAGTACTTCCATGGCCTTGAATACGTCGGCTGCACTGATAGTTTTGTGATTGGCACTCCTAGCGGTGTCGTTGGCACTATAAAGAGAGCGCCTTTTTGAATAAATGCTACATTATCCATGATATGAAGGTATAATTACACTGAACTCAAGTAGTTGATGAATACTGTGGCAGACTTGCTGACAGCCGTCTTGGCTTCTTTTTGCAGTGCTGTACCAGGAGGAAGCTGATTCAAACATATAAAAAGATTGAGTGGTCGTGCGACATGCTGATCCTCAAGTGCGTATGCTTACGGCATGTTTCAATACTCGTGAAATGTTGGCTTTGGGAAGTTCGTTGTCTTCGATCGATGACATGGTGTGTCTGTGTGTGTATATAAATGGGGGTGAAAGAAAAAGTGAACACGATACCAGCGCGCTTGATCAATTTTGATTCTACGCGTGCTCTAGAAATGCAAGCGTGTGCGTTGGTTGCCATGCAACATCCTCATCCATCACTACAAGCTATACCTACATAATTGATCCTGTTAGCCATTCAAATCAAGTATTCTCCCTACACAACTTGGCGCTTTCATACCCTCGTATTGATTGATAGAGCAGCTCTTTCCAACTATGAATCGTGCCATACCAATGTCAACTGTCACCAGCCCACCAGCATCAGCATCACCTTCAAATCATGCTAGAGCTACACTTCGATAAAGATGTCGCCAATGTATATAAAAATGAGCCAGCAACTATAGCCGTATTAGTGGTAGTAAAGGCAACTTAAGTAATGAAGTTGGGACGGTGTGGGATGGATAGCTATGCACATACGACACAAAGAATGCAGCCAAAATAAAAAACCAACTTCATTATGTCAATGTTGGGTACCTGTCAATCTTTTGGATATTGCATCCATCAACTATGTTGGTCACTGGAACCGATACTATGTACATGGATATTTGAGGAGAGGGAGAGGAATCACGCGGTTGAAAAAAAAGATCATGTCGTAATGTTTGTATCCCACTACACAGTTACCCACATCACCGCTTCTTTTACAGTAATGTCGTTTATCGGCTGGGTTCCTGATAAGGTCCCGTGGCCTGCTGTCTCCTTACTCTTTGTCAATCCACGCGATTATTTGTGTGACACAATCACTACCACCACTTGTCAGGGAGTACGACGAGGAGGAGGACAACGAAATGCCCACTCAGCTGACGATGTTTTGAATCCGTCACAAAAATACATTACATTACAAGCATCATAAAGAATCAATGATCATAGATATATAGCTTTAATGCAACAAGATTAGAAAGCAAAAAAAAAAAGCAAAGGAATACAATGGTTCTAAATACATTTGTGCAAACAATGAATGCTGCATACAATGAATGTGGGCATGTGCAGTGCGTGGATAGAGGTATAATGTGCAACAAGATAGCAATATGAGCAGGTATACGGAACACAGGAAAAGTACTTGGTTAGTTCTAGCGTCTTCGCAAGTAGGGACAATGAGCATCATGGGCAAAGCGAGAAACGTCAACGCCACATCCAGGGCAAAAGCCAGTAGCCAAAGTGCAAGTAGGTTGGTAATTGGATTCAGTGAAGCAGCAGGACATCTTGGTACAGGTTCAATTGAGTTCTTGTTCCTACATACAACAATGGCTTTATATATACGCATGATTTCGGTATCCTGTTGTCGGGTGTCACGTTGACCATTCAAATGAGAACATAATTACCCATGTTTACAGCGTCGTACCTTGATTGTGATGAGGTCAACAAAACGACACATGCGCCACTGAAAATGTGTGCACCATCAGGGCTGAGTCGCGTCATCAAACCCCACCACGCGATTTATGTTCATTGGAAACAGCGCTGTAGAGGAAAATGTGTATGGATAAACAAATCATTAATTAGGTAACCCGAATCGGTTAATCCTCCTTCCAGCGCTCACGTGTCATTTGTATCGCATAGATGATACACAACAACCATAACATTTTTGATTATTCACACAACAACAGCATGATGATGGACCTCCGATTTCTTTAGAGCCTGAGCAAATTCATGCAAAGTTGACCATCAAAATGAAGCGGACTATCCCGAGCTGGCACAGCTGCTGTATGGGAATGGAATCTACTACTACTACTACTACTACCTTGGAGAAAAGCCAAAGGACTCTGCTTAGCAAGATGTGATGTGGCGAGCGCAGCAGCAACTACAATATGAATCGTTTCGTCGGTCGCTTCTCGATGTATCATTGGTGATGTGCAAGCCTTGTACTCTTTCACGAGATCATAACAATGGCAACTTTGTTATTCCTTGTGTACCCCACACCATTGCATCACCTATCAATCATTGCCTATTACATGAACAAGAAACATGATGGTTGGCTTTATGATACAAATCGATCGAGATGGTATAGTAGTAAATAACTCAAGACGCTATTAAGGATACATCCCTCCAAAAGTACAATGGTACATCTTTGATATTGTAATCCTGGTTCTTGCAAAGCATAGAGGGTGCCGGCAGCAATGACATTTGCATGGACTTGATGGCAACACGTTGATCCAAATAATCATGAAAACCTGACGACAGCTCAAAGCATACTATTGATTGCTGCTTAAGGTTATCCGTTTCAGCGTTGCGTTCTATACATTCATACCGCTATCCCTAAGGGCTAGGGGAACACCGTTCACAATGAACCACTTTTTCCTTACAATGCGGCTGAAACGTGTATTCGATCCCTCCTCTGGTTAGCACTGATAATCAAAAACGGCAGATCCATGAAATTCACGCAGCAGCAACTACCAATTTGAGGACTACAAAACACATTTTCCTAAAGAGAAGTACACGTACAAATTAACAAAAGACATCGTCGTTTAGTAAAGGCAATCAGTTGACTACTAAGACGATGCATATCCTATCTTTGCTACTAGTCAAAGTGCGTGGTTGCAGTGGATCCGCTTCTACACGAGGGTAAGAAATGCATAGCAACGAGTCGATTACTGCTTCATCATGTCCAAATCTCACATCCTTAAAGGAAAACTCAAAGATGCCAGTACGTAGCCATGGCAACCATCAAACCCAGCAAGCTTGACATTTTAGCAACCACAGAGCAAAATTGGCATTCACGAGTATCTACACATGGATTGCATCCTCTAACCATTTCTTTTCTTACAAGTGTGCATTGAATCAGGAGTTGATGTGATGTGATTCAATGCTAACCTTTTACGGAATTTTGGTCGCATAGAGAGTAGTGATGATGGGTGTTGTTGCTGATGCTGCAAGGTGATGCACTAAATGGATTTGATGCATGTGTCTGGGGTCTTTTTAGGATGGAAGTAAATTGAGGGAATGTTTATGTAACTTCAATCAGCCAACTGCTTTATTATAATAATGATACTACGACAAATGTGGATATAAATAATGATGATATGCTGTTGTTGAATGTATGTGTGTGCATGTAAATGGATGGTATGTGTTCTGGATGATATAATGTGTGCCTGTTTTCAATGCATGGATGTGTATGATGAAAGTGAAAAGACTCGTTGTTCATGACGATGGATCGAAAAGCCAACAAGGAACGTTTTCACGACGCATTGTAGTAGTAGTGGGTTGTTGACGTACACCCTATACCCATTTGAATCAGCCATTCCTTCTTCTATTACAAACCATCCTCCCACTTACCAAGGGATTCTTGCTGAATGAAAGGCGGATGCCACCTTTGACCGAGTTGCTCAAGAGGGCACCATTATACTCGTACAATGTTTGAGTTGCACATGCCACATCATCGAATTCGACAAAGCACATGGGGCTACTATTCAACTTTGGCTTGAAACAGAGACGACGAAAACCGGTGGATTGAATAAACATGGCTCTTAGCTCGTCTTCATTGGCATTGAATGGCAAATTGCCCACGTATAAAGTATTGCAAGGTGGATGTTGATCCAAAGTTCCAAGGATGGACTGACGTACCGGGGAAGTGATCCCAGGAGGTGATGGTAATCCATTGCTCACCATAAGACCTGTCAAAGCGGATGATGGTGCCGGTGGTGGTGGTGAAGCAGGATTACTATTCGTGTTGATGGATAGCTGTGTGGATGTGGATGGTGATGGTGGTAATACATGATCCAATAATCCCAAACGCTCTTGCTGTTGTTGTTGATCAGGTACAGAGTAAAAGGCTTCATAAACGGATCGTCGAGCATAATGAAGTCCTCGTTTCGTGTGGAGATTCTTGCGAGCCATTTCAGCTTTGAGGACACATCCTTTCTCTGCATCCACTCGTCGTCCTGTTAACAGCTCTTTGGCTTCCAATGCTTCCAACCTTGTACGAAACTTTGCAAATCCAATCTACAAGATGATGATGATGATGGTAACGTCATCAATCAACAAGCCTAACGGCAGCCCTTTCCATCTCTGTGCTCTTACTATTTGTTTCTTGTTGTTCATATCCTCTTCTTCAGGCACCTTAAGCGTAGCCGCTTCAAATCCAGGAGAAAAGATAAACATGTTTTGAAACTCTCGTTCTTGCATATCTTCAGGGAAGCCAACGACAAAGATGGTGGAGATCTCTTCATTGTGCGGTGCCATGTCGGTGCCGTTTGACATGAGTACATTGAACAAGCTGTTCGTCATTGGCGGCATAAGCGGGAGAACAAAAGCCAAGTTGCAGTAAACGGGTCTTGAAAGAAAGGGAAAGGAAAAGGAAAGAAAAAAAAGACAAGGGAAACTAGCATTGCGTATCCTCCTATACTCTCTTTTTGATATCAACACAAAAGTGAGTTTTTTTTAGCCTCTGTGTGCACTGTTCTTCTCACCTTTGGCATCACTCTTTGGCAGCAACTACTTTGCATAGTCTTCCCTTTCCCTTTCTACATACAACATAGCACACACCTCTTTTAATGGTTCATTCAATAAATATCGTGATTCGTTATGCTTTGCCTTGTCTATTGGGAAGATTTGCAAGTGATTTCCTTGCTCCTTGCGTAAGGGACATTGCTGGTAGTATTACTGCTTTGGATGCAATCATTGTAAATGTAAAATCCAATATTAAAACATGGGGTATCCATGAGCCCTTCGTTGTTTCTAGTAAATCACATACGTTGTTCGCACCCAATGGTTGATGGATAAGTAAATTGTACCGCGTGGTCCGTGCATCCTAATAGTGTTGATCATCCATGATGGCGTAACTGTAAATCTTTTCAACCTCCTTTCCCGCAACCGCCATTGGGAAAACAAAAGTGGTCGTGAGGAAGGAGCAATTAACCAACCATATCTAACAATGGATGTACTTCTCGCATTCGTATCATTGGCCATATGGCATTATATGAATGCTTGTATCCATGACAACGAAAAAGGGTAACAACGACAACGATAGTGACATTCTTCTTGGGTTCATTTTTCTTATGATAAACGTGCTTTCTTTGTAGGAATCTAATTAGACATCGCTTAACACTCACATATCATTGCCGCCAATCTATATGGACTGCCATCATCGATCATGATCACGTGATGATTGCGTAGTATCTTAGAACCACTAACTCAGAGAAGATCCTACTCTTTACTGGTCAGGGTCATTAACCGGTAAATGCATTTAAGAATAAGGGTGCAGCTGCAACTATGACTAATGGATTTGTGATAATGGTTGGGGGTTGGTGGCATTGTCTATGTAAATGCTTGAAGAAAATGGTGCTGTAATCCACAATATCCCAAGTATAGGCAGTGGTTGTTTTTTACATGTACATAAATGGTAACGAAACAAGGAGTGAAGGTGATTTCCTGGAGCTATCAACAAGGAGATTTGGCTGTGACCCGATGTTCTCCCTCCTGAGATTTCCTAATTAGTGCATACACGATTACACTTTCATAATGGACTTGAGCAAATGAAGCATTTATGCGAGGTGGATCTTATATGAATTCTATGTACCTTGCCGATCTCATCCCGGGACATGACTCGTTTTTCTTTGGGTTGATCAGAGACTACTACTACCTATCTCTATATAGGGTAGTGATAACATTATTATTATTCCCTCTGAGGCAAATGACGCTGACTAAACCTGAAATCGTTGGTTCGAGGACACATATCATTATCACCAAATACGATGATGGTGATGATCTTGTATAATGCGATGCTCGTATAACAAAGCAAACTGATCCGATGAAAAGTACACGTATCACGGAGTTCTTGGCATCTGAGTTCAAATGGGTCACACAAAACGCGCAACACACAGACATTTTGTGTTATTGTAAGGCACACCCACCTCCAGGGTGAGTAGTGTGGACGATCTTGGCTATGTAAGTTGAGGACAGCAACAGCAGCAGCAGCAGTGATTGTGGATGGTGGGAGCTACAACATGTCATTTGAAATTGTCCAAATTTGATACTTCACATGGGATTTTTCCTTGAATCCTTTATCCCTGAGGGCGGGATTGTTGGAAAGAGATTTCAGGGACAACCCCACGGGAACACCAACTTGTTGATGCATTTTCATGAACCAATGGGTAGGTTTGTAATGGGTTCCCATTGGTGCTTGGGAGAGCATGTGTGTCGTCTTTCTATTCCTTTTACCACGAGAGATCCGTCAAACGATCGTGGATGCAAGCGTGCCTGTTTTTGTCCGTTATCATCATCATCATCATCCTCCCCCAAACAACATCAACTTCCATAATGGAGATGCATGCCAACAACGGCATGCCAACCCAACATGGACATGCTTTTTTACCGTGCATGGTATAGGGGAGAGTGAATGTGTACCGCACAAGATGGCTTTGAAGCCACGGGTAAATGTATGTGGCAACGCTTGGCACCCATCATCATGGTGTAAACAAGAGACGCGAAACAAGGTTTATCCTACCAGCAGCAGCTCGTTCCGAAATGCGGGGATGATGTATGTGTGTGTGTGTGTGTGAGTAACGCAAATCAGCCACAGACCGCATATACCCTTGATGCAAAAGCCAAAATCTTGCATGATGATGCATGATTCAAACCTCTTGTGTACCCAACCACCAAAATATGTGTGATGGATCAAATGAAACTTTGTGTTCAGTAGGGGTGGTAAGCCACAAACACATACACACTCCTACGACATTATGGCGTGTGTGAATATAGCTGATTGGCTTTGGCCGATCCTAAAAAGTCCCACTCTCTTGTAGATCGCCATGTTTTTTCTCCTCGTTGGTATTAGGAGAATGAATGGTGCAGGGTATAGTACCTTTGTTCCTCCCCCAAATAATAATCTCCCCTCCTTCCCTCCTCTTTTTTACTGGCTCTCGCACTCCAATGGTCATAAATGGATGACAGCATGTGCATTGCCTATGCGTGGCAAATGAACATTTCAGCCATAATGCATGCAAACTGCTTACTACGATTTATTTTTCCTGATTTGTAAACAAATTGGAGTGATCGACATGCCAACCATGTTATTACGCTTCTTGGTGTAACCTTGCATCTCCCCACTGAGTGATTGCCTAGCAACGTGTATTCGATAGACAAAGGCTTTCATGCCATAGCAACGTAACTAGGTGAGGTATGTTGTCGTTACGTGATACGTTTTGGTGCCATTACATTGGGAACATGGGAGTGCCAAGAATCACGATGGTATCGGGGATGACGATGAGATCTGACGGAGAATAGACCAAGCACAGATGATGGAGCCGGACCAAAGATTGGTAAATACCAAGTTTGTGGATTGTGCAAAAGCCCGGTATGCTAGATATGTATGGGACATGGCCCGTGTAATGAAAAAAATGCAACTTGTTGTGGCACAGTGTTTACATGCGAAAGACGCGGGAAGAGTACTATTGTAGTCGACAGCTTACATAATGTTCTTGGCTTTTCTTTGTTGACATGCATCATCATCGATAATGTTGGGGGGGGGGAGAGTGTTGAAGAAGATAAGGGAAGAGTGTATCAAGCGTTGTTGACGTGACTGATTACAACATGTACGAGCATGAGCTGGATGGTACCCGATAGGATTCGATAATACGTATGCGAGAGACAACAGCAATCTAGACCGATGGGATGACCATACTTGGTTATGCATATGCACCTTTGGGCGCAGAATGAAAATTCGGTAAACATTGAGACACGCCAAGAGAAGGTGTTGCTGACATCCCTTTGTCATCCTTTAAACATGATATAGACTCCTCCCAAACGACATCGTGGTGTTTGATGAATACGTAACAATACATGTGTGCCATTGTAATGCCTTCAATGTTCAAGGACTAAAAAGTACTCCCCTTGAGAAGAATGCCTCTATTGTATGAATGAGAGTATGTAATCCTTGTTGAGTGATGTTGATGACGATCGTAAGGGTCAAGAGCACGAGTTCGGTCCATACGCTCGAAAAAGAAGAAGTATTACCCCTTGCATCTTGGTGTGAGATGGAGGTTGTTGTTCAGTGCAGCGGGCGCCACAGTGGTTCTAACCTTCCTTATCCCCTCATCTCCCCCAATATTCTTCATATGGTAGTTATGCCTCACGATGCTGTGGCTGGTGCTTCACGATGAAATCGAGGCACGCTTACATGCACAAGACACGACTTGACCTTATAAATACCCCCCAGGTTGCTGACTTGATGGATTCTACTCATCCTTTGATCGCTGTATATCGTACACTACTACTTTGTCGTGTGTCCATTGCTGCTATCAACCATCGTTTTCACGTTCTGATCCATCGTCAACTCAAATCACACTTTTTGCTTTTGCTGCCTGATGGATTTCAACGTGCCATATTGTATTCCTTTGCATCGTCCACAACTCGACATTGATTTCAACGAACCATTTGCCTTTCCCTGTTCTGATATCTTTTGGCCCATTGAACCTGCCATTGTGTCTCTGCCTCCCGAGCCTAGTATCCACAAGATCAAGAAACGTAAACTTTCCAACGACAACGAGTTTATTGTAAAGAAACAACGTAAACGTATGGAGACTCGTCGATCGTCAACAACAACCGCGTCTACTACGAAGGGTCACGCACCATCGCAACAAACATCGATACCCGAAGATATGGCTACTGTCACCGGTATTGAAGAAGATCTGCAACATTTGCAAGACGAATGGGCGTCGATTGAGATCGTGTTCAACTCTATTCGCAATGCGTTTCCTGTTCAATCGCTGAAGAATGCACCTGAGGAGCTATTGGACGAGGTTGACCGAGAATTGAGTATTGCATATGACGATCTTAAGGCACAAGTCAGACATTTGACCCGCAACCTCCAACGACTGGAAACCGATCTTGCACCATTTCGTCCTTTGAAAAAAGAGGCGGCAGCATTTGTGTCACCAAGCAATCCAGCAGCAACAACAGCAGCTGTCATTAACAAAGCATCCTCCTCACCTTGTTAGCTGTCAAAGTGGATGCTCATTTTTGGGTACAAACATTTCTTCTTCCTACTCCTGCTTATACTCCTCCTCCTCCTCCTACACAAATTCCACATCCAACACGCTCCTCGGTTTTATCTCTCTCTCTCTCCCCCCCTTTCATCTCCTACACGCACACACGTACACACCATTTCATTCCTCCTCCACCACCTTATATTGTTACACCCGTGTTGAGTGCCTTGTATATGCCATCCATCGTCAAATATTTCATCCCTTCCCCTTTCCTTTTCCACCTATGCGGGTAATTGTGTGGCTTGCCATACTATCTTTTTCTTTTTGTACAACTACTTTTGTTTTTATGAGCCTCACTTCTTCTTTTGCATTATTCGTTCTTAAACCTTTTCAGCATCATCCATTCACCATCACCACTACAAGCATTTTCCATGATGATTCTTTTTTTCTTTCTTCTTTCCTCCTTGTAACATGTGCGTCCCGTGGGCAGTAATATTACCATTCAGCACTGTATGTACTACTTGTTATTATGCAAATAAAACACAATCATTGGTAATACGACATATGACCACCACCATCATCATTGTTGGGATAGGATACGTGCATGATTGTCAAAAGAAAGGAGTAAAGTCAATCTTGTACGAATCTGGATAAAAGCATTGTATGTCATGTATTTTGCTATCATTTTGAGTTGTCTTGCCAACCCTTGTTGTCTTCTCTCCTTCTTTTCCTTTATCTACCTTATACAGCACTACAGCATCGCCTTTGCATCACCATCATCCTTACAAGGATACATAGCATTTCATATCTCAAGATCTACAATACCCACAAAACCACACTTTGTTTATCGAATGGTAGTTGTTGAGTGCATAATGTAATCATATGTGGATGGTAAATGTACGTAGGGAATGGGTGATGGGGGTGATGTGGTGGGCCATTGGCGGAGGTACAACAACGACTGCTGAATTTCCAAGAAGGGTTGCTTGGCTCCCTCTTCTTTGTCACCTACACACTCTCTCCACCCGACAATTAGCGCCATGGAGGCAGAGATCCAACTCGCCAAAGAGGGTGCACCTACCTTTGTCTTTGGTCAACGCAAAGACCCTCTACGAATCTTGATTTCACGGACAACGGATGCGACGATGGATGGCAAGCATGCGGTGGACGACTTCCTTGGATTTATGGGCGCGTTAATCAAGGACGACAACGCTATCTTCGAGCAATACAACATCGACATGCGTACTCTATTCATCAACACTTTCAAATGCATGGATACGAGACTCGAAGGTCTTGCAGAGTTGAAACCAGAAGGCGATGCTGCTGAAAAGCTGAAAACAAGGAAGACCAACCTTATTGCTATGATCAAGGGAGCCTTGGTAAAGAGAATACAATCATATCCATTGCACCAACGTTGACTAACGGTAACCCTCGTATGCATGCTCAGGAACGTGATATTTTGACACGCGCCGATTGTTTGATCCATTTCTCCAGTCAAACCTTACAAGATGCTGGCTTGATCATTGACAAGGATATCTTCGATCGCAGACTTGTCCGCTTGAACACCTCCATGATGTAAGTTCATTGTTAATATCTATTTATGTATGATGGATAGCCTATTAACAACATGTATCATAGTTACAAGCAAAACAAGTTCAACTTGTTCCGTGAGGACAATGTGGGATATGCTGCTTTGATCAATGATCTCATCGTTGGCAGCACCGACCATGAATATGACAAGCGTAATCAAGCACCGCCAACACCACTCGATCGTGTGCCTACTTTCCTTCAAACCATCTCATCTCATATTGGTAATAAGATGTCATCCCGGCAATAACCGAAAAGTGATATTAATCATGAAGGTATTCATTGATTAGGCATCTTCCACCTTGATCCCAATCGTGTGCTTGATATTTTGCTCGACTTTTTCGTCAAACAAGTCTTATGCAACTACGTGTTCTGGATCACCCTTTTCAAGCAATCGGCATGGATGGAACATCTTCATCTCGGTGATCTTCCTGATGACGGCAGCTTGGTGATGGCGCATTTACTGGGCTTCAAGTTTGAATACTATCAGACCATTCAAAAGGAGAATCCACCCAAGGAATTGTATTATGCATGTGCATTGCTTATCAAGGAGAAGCTCATTCGACTTCACGACCTTCTTCCCTACCTATATCCTTTTGATTCAGCAATGGCCCAGAAAAAGAAGGAGTATATGGACAATATGAACAAAGAGATCAGCACCAACACAGGCGGTCTTTTGGCACAATTTGGCGCATTGGGTGAAGAGGGTACCACTGAACGTGTGAAGCAGCCCAAGGAAAAGTCCAAATCCAAAGACGAGGAGCAAGAAGCATTGAAAGCAAACGACATTGTTGAATTGACACGTGCGTTGTTGGCCATCGGTGACATTTATCATGCCGAGCTTTTATTCGCCAAATACGACAAATTACTCGACATGTATCCCGAGCTCGCACACAACATTTATCGCATCTGCGACAAGATGCTTGCTCCTATCTACGACACTGTGATCCCTCAACAAGTCAAGGACAAGTACAAGCTCTTTGAGCAACGTGTGCAGGAATCAGAAATCAAGACAGCATTGGGACGTACAGAACAAGAGATGCCTGAACTTGCAGATGTCTTGGTCATGGATAGTCTTCGTGACGATACGCACAATATCAGCAAACGAGAGCGATATGTTTTCTTTTATCGCAATTGGCCGGATGATATTCAAAAGGTCAACACCTTCCAAGATCTATTACAAGTGTTCCTTCCCGTCATGCGTTTGGCTGGCTACAAGATGTATCTCGCTCCCAACCTCGTTGCTAAGCTCTTGTTGATTGTCCGTCACTTGATCGATCGTGAAGAAGAATTCCCTGGTTGCCGGCCTTACTGTCTCAGCATGATTCGCGAAATCCTTTTACCATCCGTTTCATTCAGCCGATGCAATCCTGGAACAATGGCATCTTTATGGGAATTATTGGACAAGCTCACATTCCAAGAAAGGTAAATAATAGAATGAGGAACATGGTTGAATAGCGAGGCACTAATGTCATCTTGGATTAGATATGCTTTGTATGGTGAATGGGGCTCTGATTTCTACAAAAAGTCGATCGAATGCAAGCTTTTAAAGGCACGCACTGAGAGATCTGTCAAATCAGTCATGCAGTAAGTATCAAAATGAAACAAGGAATCATAGGAGTGACTAATTGACCCTGTTCTACTAGGCGTGTTTCAAGAAATGATGTTCGACAATGTGGTCGTGATCTTGGTAAACTTGCCAATTCGAACCCTACGATCGTCTTCAGTGTCATGCTTGACCAGATCCAGTCATTTGACAACATGGCTCCTTTTATGGCTGATGCATGTCGTTACATGGGTGACTTTACGTACGATGTTTTGGGATATCTGATGACCGAAAAGTGGACCGGCTTTAATGGACCTGGTCGCGTAAAGAAGGCCAAAGTCAAAGAAGATGGAATGACATCCACGTGGTTACGAGGTACGTATTGATACCCTTCTTTGTCGATTGCCCCATTGATGCTAACATTTGTTGCATAGCCTTGTCGGTCTTTTCGGGTATGCTTTTCAAGAAACAAGGCCTTGATCCCATGCCATTATTCCGATATATGATCTTGCGACTTCACTATGACGATGCCGTGGATGATCTTATCTTGTTCAATGAGTTTATTACCAAGATATGCGGCATTGAAATTATTGGCAGCACCATGACCGATGATCAGATTTTATCAGCATCGTGCAGTGAAACGATCAAAGCTGAGGCATTTCAACCCATCTCTGGTGACAATCGTAAGGCCAGCAAACGTGTGATTACGAGGACAAAGGAGGCATTACAAAAGGACGGCACAGCTCTAGAGCTTATTGTGTTATTACATCGATTACGAGAAGCATGCTCAAGCGAAGAGCAAATCAGTACTGCGGCTCTTGGATCACGTCTCGATCTTATTCATCAATCCATCAACCAGTATCTTGAAATGATGACAACGATTTTCGAGCCACAAGAATACGATGCACTTATTCCTGATGCCAACACACTTGCCACTGTTTACAAGCTGCCCGATTATTTGACCATGCAACTTGTACGACCCAAAACACGCCACGCCCTTCGAACGTATAAGCCTGATGCTACCGAGACTTACAATGCTGACGAGCCACATCCTGTTTTCCGCTCACTCATCGATCAAGTACCCAATGTTGTCACTGAACCAAGTGTCCTCAACCTCATCACCAGTGAATTCTACACGTTGTTCTGGCAACTCAGTCTTTATGATATCCATGTCCCTGAAGGACATTATCAAGCAGCCATGAAGCGACAAAGTGATATGATTGCTCAATGCCGTGATACACGATCTTCTTTCTATCTCAACAATCGACCTTCAGTGGTGGCTAAAGCCGAACGACAAGCACAAGCATGTCTTGACAACCTCCAAGAAGATTTACCTCGACACAAGGCTGATGTGGAAAAGACGATGCAAATTTTACGGACGTCACAAGCTCGATGGTTCCCAATGAATGTTGATCGGCAACCTTTGATTTCATCGATTATCCAACATTGCCTTTTGCCAAGGAGTATGATCTCAGAAGCTGATGCGGTGTTTTGCTTTGAATTTGTCATGTTGATCCATCGATTGGGTGCTCGCAACTTTTCGAGTTTGACATTATTCGACAAGGTGCTTTCAGAAAACCTACCCACAGCACTCCTCTCCTTCACCGAATATGAAACCACCATCCATGCACGCTTCTTGTATCGCACATTTGCCAAGATTTCGGAATGGCAAAAGGATGAACAACTCTATATCAAGGAGGCTCATGGCGAGGGATTGATTGGTTTCCAGAAAAAGTGGAATGCACAGACATCACAGGATGTATCCAAAGAGGATTTGCTCAACTTTACAGAGTTCAAACGGGTCATGCACAAGTGGCATCTCAAGACGAGTTTGGCTATTGAACAAGCACTCCAATCGGGTGAACCACATCAAATCCGCAATGCATTCTTGATTCTCAAGCAATTTATTCCATATTTCCCCATGATTCGTGAGCATGGCCAAGTGCTTGTCAAGACCACACAAGAGCTTGCTAACCGAGAAAGAAAGGACAATCTCAAGGTGCTCGCAAGAAGGTAATGTATTAATGGATTTTAAATATGGAACTTTTGATTAATGAATGGTGTGTTTTAGTTACTTGGGTCTAATTGAAAAGAGCAAATCTCGTTGGGTCACGAAAGATGTATTCCTTGGATTGAAAGAGGTATGTAAATACTTTGGATATGGTTCTCATGCTTGATGCTAATGCATGTATGCTATAGGCCGAGCCTGAAAAAGCGCCAAGCGAAAAAGCTTCACCAAAGCCATCCAGCAATGATGAGCGGATACCATCACCTGATCGCAAACGTTCAAGAGAAGATACATCCAACACATCGACCAATGAAGGCACATCCTCCAAACGTAGTCGACATGATCATGATGATCGATCATCACGTGAGGCATCCAAAGAATCCAGACGAGAAAGCGAACGTAGTTCAGCACGAGAGCCATCACGATCAGCACGCGATTCAAGTGGCCACCGTGATAGCCGTGAATCTTCTTCAAAGGATCAACCTCGTATTCGTGACCATGCGCGTGAAGCTATTCGAGAAGCAGCTCGTGATTCGGCTCATGCTCGGGATACCAACCGTGATTCGGCACCACGAGATTCGGGGGGAAGATTATCAAAGGAGTCATCCAGAAGTTCACGGGAAGAACAACGAAGGTCAAGTCGTGATCGACGATCAACCAATGCTGGATCTGGTTCGAACTCTACAGCAGCAGCAGCATCAACCAATAACCCAGCATCCACATCCAGTAATGGCGGTAGCAGCAGCTCAAAGAAACGGGATCGGGATGATGATCGGGATCGGGATCGTGGAGAAAAGAGATACAGGTACGCTGAATGATCCTTTGTGTATTATAAACGATAGTAGTACTAATTGAGAACATGCTTGTTAATAGAGATGAAAGAAGTAGTCGGGATGATAGGCGGGAACGAGACCGTGAGCGAGACCGAGACCGTGAACGTGAAAGAGATAGAGAACGAGATAGAGATCGAAGACGTCGTAGTAGAAGATAATTTTCAAACACAACCACTATCAATACATCCCATCTGATGCAATGATACGATGCTTTTTTTTTCTGAAACAATGTCAACGGAGTTAATTATATTTAGATAAGACTATCATGCATTCTCATTCTTTGAAGGAAAAGCTTCTTTACTGCCATTATAGGAAGAAAGAGACCGAATGCGGATGTCAGCCTATGCTACGCTTAGCCTCATCATATCAAGCACGTAGTAGTAATTATTGATTGTATACGCTACAGAGAGATTGCTCAACCGGGCATTGCCATTACTACGTGTCTTTGTAATGATCTATGAGGCCATGAAGGACATTTCGCTTGATGTTGGATAAGGAAAGAAGCTGTCAAGCACAATCACGTCAACATAGCTTTTGGCGCCTTGCATCTAGCCATTTGACGTATCGAGCAGCATCTTGTTACAAAACGAGTATAGTGTTACACAGCCAAGCTGATTACGTTGATAGTCGTACAATGTCATCACAAAAGGAAAAAAGAGGCCGACAAACCTAGCATTTAATACGCCTTTTTCATTCTTGTTTTCCCTTCACTTCTTCCTCTCTCTTCAAGAAATCATGTCAAGCACGCAATTATTGAAGGATACACTAAGCGATTGGCTTCTCCCTGTACTCAAGTCGCAGCCGAACATACGTTCCTTGATTATACGTTTTGGGTTAACGAGTGCAGCAACGTGGGTGGTGGCACGCTATTTTATTTATCGGTTGTACCTGCATCCTGCCAACTCGATTCCAGGTCCACGGGTCGATTGGATACCGTTGCTAGGCAACATGCGAGAAATTATTCGTGACCCTGTAAGTATTGCAAACCTTTGATGAATGATGATGATGATGAGTAATAACGTTATTTCTTCTAGCCTGCTGTACCTCATCGAAAATGGGCTCAACAATACGGCAGCGTGGTGTGCTACCATGGAGCATGGAATAAGCCAACAGTGCTAGTGACCGACCCGGAGATTATCAAGCAAATTTTGACGTTGGAGCACTATGACTTTGTCAAAAATCCCCAAACACGTCGATTTTTGGCACCTGTGGTGGGTGAAGAAGGCGTGTTGCTAGTCGAAGGTGATATCCATCGACAGCAACGTAAACTACTCAACCCAGCATTTTCATTACAAGCCTTACGTTCGTTGGTACCCGCCATCGTAAAGCCTGCGCTCCAGCTGCGCGATAGATGGCTCTCTGAATTACAAGATAATCAACCCACAACCATTGTGGTGGATCATGGCCTTTCACTTGCCACACTTGATGCCATTGGTTTGGCAGGATTTGGCGCAGAATTCCAATCCGTATTGGATGCACCTCTTGACACGAGCGGTGGTCGTCTTAGTCAAGCGTATTTGGATCTTACGTCTGGTGACAACAATTTGGCTCGTGGTATCGGTCTCTTTATACCTGCTTACAATCATATCCCAACACAACGCAATCGATCATTGAGACGCATCATCAACACACTTCATGCTGAAGCACTTGAATTGATTAAACAAGGACGCAAGGAATTGCTGCAGCAACCAGAATCGAATCGAGCGCTCTTGTCGTTGATGCTACGTTCCGTTGATGATGATACAGGACGAACGATGACTGATCAAGAATTAAAGGCTCAATGTTTAACATTCTTGGCAGCAGGGTACGTAAAACGATAAAAGAAAAAGCCACCTATGTGCTTATTTTAACATGGATGGATGCATGAACAATAGGCACGATACAACAGCGGTGGCATTGTCATGGGGATTATATTTGTTGGCGCAGCACAAAGATATCCAAGATGCTTTACGTGAAGAAATCATGCCTGTGTTTGCTAATGTGGATACGGAGGAGATGCCATCCTATGAACAAGTCAACAATTTGCCGCTGCTTAATAACGTGTGCAAGGAGGTGATGCGTTTGTATCCACCTGTGCCTATGACATCCCGTATCACAGCCAAAGATCAAACAGTGCTTGGTGGTCGTTATGTAGTGGCCAAGGATACTACTATTATCATGTCGCCATTAATCACCCATCGGGATCCAAAGTACTGGGGAGATGATGCAGACACCTTCCGACCCTCTCGATGGGAAGAGGCTCCTGCCAATCAAGCCAACCCCTACGTGTACATGCCTTTCTTGGAAGGAGGTCGTAAATGCATTGGATACCGCTTTGCTTTAGTAGAGTTTAAAATCATTTTGGCTATTCTTCTTACACGTCTTCGATTCTCTGAGGAACCAGGCTTTACACCTTATATGCGTCAACAAGTCACTTTACGTCCCAAACCCAACATGAAACTTGTCGTAGAATCTTGCAATCAATAAATATTACAATTTGTCTTTATTCACAATGATGACGACGATGGTAACAAGTATGTATTCCTTCCAACCAATGTTATTTGGCCATTCGCAACTGGTTTGCCTCAAGCGGTGAACCATCGTCAGTAGTGGGATCATGACCCTTATTATTATCCCCTCCCAATTTTTCTGTAAAGGTCATATTACGATTAGTGATATAGGTGACAAAGTCAAAATGAGTCGTATTATACTAACCATCAACGCCCGAATCTCGCTTTCTCGGCAATGAAGATGCTTTAAGCATTTCATCCCAGGTCATTAAATCATCTTCTTCGCTGCTTGGATTATGGTTGCTACTGCTGCTGCTGACACGTCGCGATGACAACGGGCTTTGTTTCGATTGAGTGATAGCGCAAATGTTCTCCATGCATTCATGTAGCGGCAACATGCGTGATTGATATTCATTAATGATATCGCGTGTTGTTGGCGGTGTATGCGAGGATTGATTTCCCCCATTCTCGCCGTTGGCTGGTAGCATAGTGGCAAGTCGTAGCCATTCTTGCCATAATCGTTGATACGTTTCTGCTTGCATGATACGAACCTCATTCATTACAATATCAAAGTACTCTGCAGCAAGAGCAAGGAATGATGGTAATTCCTCAACAAGTTGTGTGTGGATGGCCATATACGCTTCATCGTCAACCGAGCTTTCAGCACGCTCATGATCTACCACCTTGCGAGCACGTTTAGCAATCACTTGTGCTGGTCGATCAAAAAGTCGATGATAAGTATTCAAACGTGTAGACACCAATTCTTGGGCTTGCCGTTCCTTTTGATTCATTATGGGTGAGCTGTCATGGTATTTGTTGTATACGTGGATGACATACCAATTCCTCTGCAATGCAATCAAAGGTCACTTTACTAAACTCTTGAATAGGTCCCCATGGCCCATAAAAATCCTCCATGCTCACAGCAAATGTATGTGTTTGTGCGCATAATGCTTTGACCATGTCGACCCACGCCATCAAACGATCGGCTAATTGATGGCCTACTTGCTGTTGATATTCGAATCGCTGATAGAGTGTATCAAAAATGGCGTCCTGCGCCATTGTCGATGCCTTGTCACCATTATTGCTGTTGCCCTTTTTGCCGACAGCTTTTTTCAAGCGGTACGCACGTCGTGCAATCGTCTTGTTGATACCATGCCTACAACACAATAAAAGTTAGCATCCTTTTTTTTGGGAGGGGGATACAACAAAGTGGCACTTACACCATCTGCTATTATTGTCAAAAGTAATCATGATGGAGATTTTAGCAAAATCACACGATACACGAAAACAAAGTGGGGGTTTTACCTACGCTCGTCTGATCAGGCTTCCCAGTAAGGATCATCTCAGCCATATCCTTGCGTCGTTTCATTTCATTGATATAGTCAGCCACGCGTTGAATGTCTGCGGCAGCAGCCTCAAGGTCAGGATCTGTTGGGGATGCCAAGTTGGCCATTTCCTATTCTCACCAATCAGCTACAGCAGAGCAAATGAGCCTTTATGGATAAGCTTACCTGTAACAGCAAAGGATACTTGAGCACACGTTGGACCGGTTTAATAAGCAAACTAGGTAAATCCCAACTTGTCGTTCGTCCTTGCATAGCTTTATAGCATGACTAGAGCGATAGCTTTAGTTGACTTGCGTATGATTGAGATCCAATTAAGTGGGGGGTTACGGTAGTTTTGATGGTGCGGGGTATACTTGTAACTCATGGAGGCCATGATAATAATGCTCCTTGTGTGTGTTTTTCTTCTCTCAAAATCCACCACCCCACATACTCCTTTCACCTCCTTGTTGTCATTTTCTCCGTCATTACCTTCAAAAAAGATTGCACCTCAGCTCTTGTTTGTTGTGCATGATTGAGAGCATTAATTACATCTTGGTGGCGTTTACAATACGTGCAATAGACTTGCTCTATCCTATCCATCTACATATAGGAAGAGGTAGAAGAAGTTTCGTTAGTGAGAGCTATACCCAAAAAGGCTATGTTGGTCTTCATTATTACCATTTGCATAAAAACTTGACCGATATTGTTTTCGTCATTGCATAACAAGGGCACCAACTCCTTTTCCAGATCCAGGATAGCAGTAATGTTACCAAACAAAAGTTTATGCTCGTGTTCAGTAAAAGGTGATGGCGTTTCGGGGAACATGTATATATCGTGAATGAGCTGTATGTCTTGATAGTAAGCCTTTTCTGTTTCAACAAGCTCCTGGATAACATGAGAAAGCTTCCCAACAGTAGTGGTAGTGATGCTGCTATTGATACCGCCACAATGTGAAAAACAGGATGAGGAGGACGTGGATACGCTGTCGTCATGGTCCGTTGCTGAGTAATATAAAGCGGAATGAGGGCGTCGTTGATACTGGTATGCAGGTGGTGGTGACATGGGCGATACGGATGAGACGTTGCTAGGTGAGGTAGCCAGCGTTGTTTTCTTGTTATTGATGTGCTCTCGCAAACGATGGAATGATTTGACTCGGCGAAAAGAAGACATCACCCTTTTTGGGGATGTAGTTGTGGGTGAAGATGATGAGCCAATGCTGCTGGTGATAGAGTGTGCAATAGAGCAAGTCGATGATGACGCTGGTATGGATCGATTGTTGGTGCTGGAATTGTTATTATTGTTGTTCATCATAGAAGCGATCGATAGCTTGGTACGTAATCGTCCTTTCTTCTTATTTTGCTGTAATGGTGCTAGCTCATCATCATAATCTGCATCGGTGGATGTTTTCGATGGCGCTTGAACAATGACAGTGTCGAATAAATCCTCTGTGAATGACGATTCTGTACTCAGCCAGCTTGCCATCAGATGCTCATTCACAAAGCTGTGAATCTCCTTTATATATGAAAAGAATGAGATTCATGATAGCATGATACTATCAATAAATGTACCTTGCTCATATCATTATCCATGTTGTGAATTAGCTGAGTGTATTAGACAAAGGAACGTGTGTTTGTGCGTGTATAAGGAGAGGGAAAAGAAAAGAAAAGAGGAAGAAAGAGACAAAGACAATGACAAAGAGCAAGAAGAGGAGTGAGGAAAAGAAAAGTAGGTGGCTCCTCCAGGTACGGGTAGTATATTACGCTTCTTCCTTTCCCCTCACAAACAACATTTTGTTGCTATTAGTGCTCCCCATACCCCTTGTTCTCCTGTTCCTGGCATTTCCTATTTTGAGTTGGATGAGTATACAGAGCGTAGTGCGTGTATCCAATCTATCGATCCAAGCTGGTTGTACATCACGGAGTTAAGGGAGACCTATAACAAGGGATCAACAGCAGCGGTGAACCACGTTTCATGTGCGCAAGCTTCTATTTCTGGCACCTCTGAATGGATGCAGCATTTACTGGTTATCAAGGATTATAGTGATTCCTCCTCATCCCCTTGTTGCATAACGTCAGTTCTTCTCCTTCTTCTCTCCTTTGATGTTACCGCGTTCATTTACTACATATCACATCACGTTATTGATTCATGAAAAAAGATTATCCACACACGTAAAGTTAGATGTTTGTAGCCTGTTCATGCGGTGGTATACCCATCATTTATCAATGTTACATGAAAATAAACAATGATCAGCTATCCATACTGTGGTAAGGTGATGTACATGGAAGGGAAAAGAAAAGTGATCAAGGGGCTGCTTGGTATTGCATATGCACAATCATTGCGACATCAATGCACCTTTCCCGCATACATAAATATGTTAGCAAGTGACCCTTTTATTTATGACATGTGCAAATAAAAATGGCTTTAATAGGCACTGTAGGTAGCATTGAGTCGCATTTTGAGATGCTTGGCAGCCGTGAGGGGTGGAGTAGCAGCTTGATTGGTGCTTCTTTTGATGAAACGACTAGGCACTGGCTCGAGAACAGCTTGACCACCCTGACAAAAGTATGCCATACTATAGCGTGGTTTCATTTGTGTCTCTGGAGTAAAGACAACACGATGTTTGGTGGAACGTAAAAGGCCATTTGTCCAATACTCAAGGCAATCTCCTAGATTCACTGTCAAGCAATCCTCCAAAACGGGTGCATCCAACCAACGTATCTCCTCGTCACCATCACGATTAGCTTGGATCTGTAAACCAGCAACACCATTTTGGAATAAAAGGGTCAACGATCCATAATCCGAGTGTCTGCAACAACCAACCTGATGAGCATCCCACCCAATCTTTTACCTCACTCCTCATTGCCATCCTCTCACCTTCCAATACGAATATCATCTGTTTCGGATGCATGCTCCAGCGGTGGATAATGAAGTAAGCGCAACACGTCGTTTGATGGCATCTCATATTTATGACGTGAAGAAAACCATGCACGGCCACCCTCGGATTCTGGTATCTATGCAAAATGCAGGTAAATAATAGATACAACAGCGCTGCACAGCCTAAAGTACATGCATACTTCCAAAGCTATCGCAAGACATTCCATGATTTGGGATACAATGGTGTGACATGTCTATTCGGAGAAGAGTGAATAGGTCTCAATACACCTTTGCGTATAACAAATACCTTGACAAAATGATCGACTTTGATGCGAGCTTCATCAAACACGGGTGGCAAATCTTGGGCTGGCTCATTTTGCTTAAATTTGGCAACATGAAAGGACCTAACCAGAAATGTGGAAACAAGGTAAATGGATGTCATTGTTGCCATGGTATCACACACGTACTCTTTGTAATCACCCTGTGCATAATGTTGGGGATCCACTCTATTGGTACAGCACATACACATAAGCCTTTTGGGGGATCAGGTGCATTTCCTCCTCTTCCTCCTTCTCACTTACGCTTCTTGACGCACACTTGAGTAGCCAACATTGTCCTTGGTAATGGCATAGACAAGTTTTTCTTCCTTGGGTCGTGCAAAAAACTCTTTACTCTAGAAATGAGTGGGTGGAGTTAACATGGTGGGAGTTGACAATTGTCGTCGCTCTACTTGCCAGTGCAAACATGTCCTGCACCTCGTTCCGATTCAAACCAAAGTTGCGCAAGTAAAAGAATCCAACATTTTCGGCTGCATCAAGTATCTGCTTAGCACATGCGTGGACATCGGTGTGAAAGAGTGAAAAGTCAATGACGGGAATATGAGAGATGTCAGAGGTGATGGTCATCACGTTGTTGCTTGCTGACGGTGAATGGAGAAGAGAAAAGAGAGAGTAAATGGGAGGGGTATAAACCAAAACGATGCAAGAAAAAAGAGCAGATCATGCAGATCATGCAGCATGCATGATATAACGGTTCCCACACCAAGATGGTGGTATTTGTCGTCGTGATGACATGAGATAGCATTTATAAAGTGCGACATTGGCCGTTGTATACAAAATAATAATAATAATATGATGCTGTGGGGTATCTGGAAAGGTGTCTTTTGCTGAAAAAGTCAAGATGATGATGAAGGGGAAATAGCGCGTTCTAGTCGAAAGATGTTCAAGTAGTTGTCCTCCGAGGCGTCATTCATGGCTCCGAATACAATGGGTATCTTGGACCGGTAGATGTTATGATCAACAAGGCACTTGATGCTTGAACCACGTATAATTTGCACACGCTCTCCCTAATCCAAATGTAAGTGTATAGCTCATTGGGGATGAAGCCACACGTAACTTACCGTTACAATATCGCAAATCTCAATGAAATTAGGCTCAAAGGCAAGCAAGTATGGGTAACTAAATGCATATGCTTCGGGTGAACCTTCCCACTCAATAATAAACTCGGGTCGTTGCCGATTCCCATTTCCATCAATGAAGAATGCATATTCTACAACATTGTTATACGTTAGAGCAATGCCGCGTAGTAGTAATAGCCCATCTCCGCCTACCATCATAGCACACAATATGCTCTGCATCGGGCGTACGAAACAAGACGATGCGTTTTTGTACGGATCGAAAATGGTCTTCACTTTCTCGATGTATAATGAAATGCAACAGAGGATCCTCATGATTCAAAAGGTCTATAACAACATTGTTTAGAACAAAAGAAAAACAACACGTTGTTGCTTGCTTACGTCCAGGTCTTTCATCCTGAGCCATATTCAGAATAATGACACCACGTGATGTGCTCATCAACATTTTCGAGTTGGTCAATTCAATATCCCATACATCGCCAGGAATGGAGTATTCTTTCCTTTCAAGCTTCCTCATATGTAAATCTAATGGGTGTGGTTTGGGTGGAATGTGTCGGCGTGCCTTTTTGAGCTTTTTGATCTGATCCTCCCAAGTCAGCTGTTCAAAGAGAGTGATGTTGGTGTTGAGCCTGTTTTTGCGAGGGACACAAATGGTTGTGCGTTGTAAGCAGATGCCAACATGAAAGAAAGGAACGCTTGTTTCAATCATTTCCCTCCTCTCATCATTCCTGGGCTTGGTATTGTTCACCACGTGCAATGCGTATTCCCATAATGTCCTGTCAGCTAGCACCAAGAGTTTTTGGGCACCTTCCAACACGTGGACCTGGGTCACATGTTGTATATCAAGAATTTGGCTTGGGACGCTTGATTCCTCAGTGTGACCAACATAGACGCCATTATCCGTAGCAAGCACATATTGTTGTCCGCCATCTAAAAAAATCCCCCAAAATGTCAATTTTCAATGACCTTTTCCAAACGTAACATCGACCAAACGTACTGAATGTGACCAAATGATGTGCCTTGTACATGTTGGACATGGTTCGTGGCTTGATGGCTGGTATTATCTTGAACACGGCTCTCCTTTCTCGCTCAGCTTGCATCTGATGAATCTTGTCTAGCCATGGTTTGCGTGCGGGTTCTGATTTGCAATACAAGGTGATAGGACCTCCATTCCCTTTTCTGCCAAGGTAATGAAACGTGATCGGAAAGCTTGGTCGATTGTTGTTGGTGCCAATCAAAGATGCGTTGGCCTGTGCTTCAGCTGTCACCATGAGCCATTCGACCGGGATCGGCTATTATAGAAAAAGGGACATCCATGTTAGTCGTGTAACGTTCTTAATGCCTGACATGGTGCTTCCAGCATTTCCATGAAGCTGCATTTACATACCGGACGTTGTACCACATAATATAGGCTGGCACCTTCGAGTCGAACACGAGTGATTACCAAATAGTGGTCGAAAAGTATCACTTGGTATTCTGTTGAACCTCGGCTAGGTGATTTCTGCAATCGATCCTCCTTGATGATTCTTCGTTTTGGGTCCAATAAGTGCAAATCCTAATTACAGCATGCGTTGTCTTCAGCGTGTCTTGAGCAAAGAAAAGAATAACTACTAGGCTCAGCCTCACATCCCACGCACAAACACACACACATCTACCTTATTTCATCCTTCCCCCCTAAAACCTTCCCACCCACTAAGCCAACTTACGATTTGATCAGATTGATTTTTGAATCGAAGGTTGGCATTCATACGCCGTAGATCAAACTTGTTCTTGGTTTCACCAGCCGTATGATTCATTCGATCCAAAATCCCTTTAATGATCTCCATCACCTTTGGTATAGCTTCACGATCGGGATGATTGGTTGGTGTGCGCTTTAGGATGACTTCCAACAGCAAATTGTATCGACCAGCACGAGTCGTTGGACTTGATAAGAAGGCATTGAGTTGTAATCGACGCGATGATGGATGTGCTTCTGTTCGCTGAAAATTGAAATGCGATGTACACATTAATCATCATCATCATCATCGAGCCTATGTGTGTGTGTGTGTTACGATACATACTTTGGCAAAAGCAGCAAATGGCCGATTGATCATTCTCTCGTGTTCAAGAGCAAATTTGGCTTGATAGCGACTGGCTCCATATTGAATGAGCGGCTCCATGTTGTACACATGTTCAAGCATGACATCACCGATCATGGACACAATGGGATGTTCTCGTTGACGGGCTTGTAGTGCTGATAAGAGCTGAAGATGGATATTGCGTATGGTCATGATGTTGGCAAAGACACTCTTTAGAAAGGTTTCACGCCATTGTGCATTAGGGATGATGATATCCGATTGAGAAATGGGCTCGATCCACATCTATATATAATCTGCATTTAGAAAGTGATACGAAAAGCGGCCAATTCGAGCAAGTATGGATACCTCATTGAGATAATCGATGGATCGTACAAAGTTGTCTTCAGTGAAAATGAGTTCAAAGATACCCTCTTGGCGTTTCCATTCCACCTCAGAAATCGTATCTCGCACTTGTTGAGGCACCGTATTGGACCATAGCTCATGCTGCCGATAATAATCATGATGCAATGATCCCGTTGAAAATGATGATCGATCTTCTGCACTGGTGTCGATGCTTTGTTCACGAAGATGTCTTTTCTGCCTCTCGTAAGCTGATATCTTTGGACATGAAAGGCTGTAACACGGTCGATCATCCAGCAAACATGTAGGTGAATAGCAATGAGTAAGTTCTGTAAAGACGCCACAAGGGAATTCATCGATCAATGTAAAGCTCTGCCGAATATCGAAACGTTGACCGAATAAAGAATCGTAAAAGTGTTCTGTAGCAGCTGAAGGAGGAGGAATGTGTTGATCTGTGTACGTATCATCATTATCGTCATCATTATCGCTATCATCGAGAGTCATGCTTCCAGGTGATCCACTATCTTGGCCTGTTGGTATAAGCAATCGCTCGTCAAATTGATATATTTCTGAAGATGAATCCACCAATTGTCGTTCGTAAATGACATCGTGAAAGGAACGTTGTTGACCTAATGCTCGGCCTACTCGTACAGCTAAATGTCGATTGGTGGTACCAAGGATGATCAAAAGCTTATCCTAACGAGGAGGAGGAGAACAGGTTGATCAGTGAAACATAGCATACACACATGAATAAGCAATGAAACATACCACAGCTTCCTGACCATCGAATGCATTTTGATATTCAATACCATTTTTCAATCGAGGACCGAGGATCACACGTTGCCGCAGCTCAAACGCCACATGTGATAGAAAAGCGGGGTATACATTGGCTGACATTATGCGACTGGATCGAGGAGTAGAAGTAGTATGCTGCCCGATATTGATCCCAAGTGTTGGAGGATATCGATTGCTGCTCGTACTCGGTTGTCTGATAGGGGGATTGGATGTATTGTATGCCATTGGATACTGTTGCCATGGTGGTGTTGGTGCAGAAAGTGGCGATGCTGAGCATTCGCTGTTGTCTTGCGTCATTGGAGAAACAAAGTAAACGGGTTCGGTGTGTGGTGGTGGTGAAGGTGGTGGACCCAAGGCAATGTTGGCGCGTAATGTTGAAGTAGAGTCGCGAGAATGGGTTGTCATTGGCGAAGAGTAATGTAAAGGAAAAGAGAGAAAGCGAAAGAGAAGAGGACGAAAGAGAAAGGTACAAAACAGTTAAACACAAACGAGTAATGTGATACCAGTGAGCAAATGCGGGTTGATCCCATCACTCTTTCAATTTCCCAAAGTGTAAATGCACCATCAGCCACACACACACACACACATATCATCCCATCTTGTCACGCAACCGAAATGCACAATGAACGGATTTATTAGACGCGGGGAAATGAGAAAAACGAAGACGACGACAGAGCACCAGAAAAAGTTAATTTACTGCTCACCAGCAGCAGTCTTGGCTTCAGCACGTTGCTTACGACGCTCACGAAGGGCCTTGTTCTTAGCACGGAGAACTTCAGCTTGTTCAGCAAGAGTCTTAGCTCTAAGCTTCTCAGCCTTGGCCTTGTGGATGTGCTCCATCAAGACACGCTTGTTCTTGAAACCGTTACCCTTGGCCTTGAGGTAGAGGGAGTGGTACAAGTGCTTGTCGATCTTGCCAGATTCACGATACTTGCGCAAAAGACGACGAAGAACACGCATGCGACGCATCCAGAGGACTTGTTGGGACATACGAGCATTGGCAGTACCCTTACGCTTACCAAGACCCATGTGACGACCAAGACGCTTAGCAGCAGCACGCTCACGGACACGGAAGCGAGATTGGCTGATCTCGGGCTTACGGATGATCAAACCGTCCTTGACAAGCTTGCGGATGTTGGCGCCTATTGTTGTTGTTGTATGTTGTATGTTGGTCATCCCATTCCTTTTTCCTTTATCCAATTCCTTTTTCTTTGTACTTACGCGAGTTGGCATTGGAGATCTCGTTGACTTCATTAGGATCAAGCCAGATTTTTCTCTTGCCGCAGTTGAGGACAGAGGCGGCCAAACGTTTCTGGTTGCGCAAGTTGACCCTAAAGACAAAAAAATCGAATCAGTAAATACACCACACAAAGACACATTGTTGGGCTGTCAAATCATTTTGCTCTTCCAGTATGTTATTGTTGCCATAGTTGCACAACCCTTTTTCGATATCACGCAAGGCATTCCAAGAGATGCTTTCTTCAACATGGCAACAGCCTCCCCCAAAGAAAAGCTGAATGGAAAGGCGGCCCACCAGCCATCTGGAGAGTGACAACATACAACGTAGCTGAAAACGAGTGGTGTTTTTGATAGCTAACAAACTGAAAGAGCTCGAGAAAATTGACCAGGGGCATCAACTCACATGGCGTCTATGAAGATGGACGAAGTAGAGGAAGGAAAATCTCCCTACGGCCACTGCCCAATGATAAAAATATTTTCTCTGCCCGCGTGACGTACGGTAAGATAAAAGCCACTTCCTAATACTTACTACCTCCTCCGCTGCATTGCAATGATCCTGATAGGTAGACACTTTTCACTTTGCTTTCTTTACACTAGATACAACCATGATGTATTCAATAAAGATGCTATCCATATAGAATCATTATCACATCTTCCCAATCTCAATACAATGGTGGTCGTTCTTACAGTATCATAGCAACCATCCCCCTATGATTGCATCATCTCTTCAAAGTATCATGTCATACACACAAAAAGGCTACCCAGTTTTATAATAACAATGTAACGTTTGTTTGACATGCAGATGGGATTGAAGATAATGCATTATTATCGCTCTAAAGTATCTATATCGGTACACGATGGGTTGAGTACAACAAAGTCTAAAAATTAGGGGAGGATGATAAGGCTCATGCAACAATGGCATGATATGGACGCAATTGGATGTGTGGCAACTGTTGCGTGGCAGGTGGTCGATCCACGCTGTTGCTATGTGTTGGTATCATAGCAACCTTGGTGGATGGTAAAGCTGCAGCATGTACATGTTGTGGGGAGAGTGTTTTGAAATGGCGCGCATTCCGATGATTGTGCTTTGAGGATGACATTTGCCTATTGATTTTGGATGTTGTTGTGGGTATCATGACGCATTCATCATCCACATCTTCATCGAGATCACAATAGGCGCGACAAATAGGGCACGAAAAAGCTGGGAAATGCTGCTCCATTGCAGGTCGCATACATTTATAATGATAAATGTGTGCACATGGAGCTACAAACAAAGCTTGAGATGATGCAATAGGACAAAGGCATATGCAACATTCATCTTCTTCTTGTGACTCTCGGTTTGGGGTGGTGGTGATGTGATGTAAGCGTTCGAATACTGCTTTTGAAAAGGTCCTTGATTTATCAGGAGAGCAAGGCATGATTTCCACTCGCATACGCACTGCTCGAAATGCAGGCTCGATTCCTTTCTGGTAATCGATCCCCAGCTGTATCACATCCCCATCGTGCACCACTTGCTGAGATTTACTTTGTTTTCGGGGAGGTGAAAGTCGCAAGTGATTGACAAAGGTACCACTCGAGGAACCGATATCCCGAATGTACAACTAGGAAGGGATGCATAAAGTTAAAATACAGCCTATTCCATTTTGCTTTGATGACATACCTTGCTGCCATCACTCCATAATTCAGCATGATGTCGGCTCACAACCTTACTCCTGAATATCAAACAATTGCGTGGATCACTACCAGCAGGTATCGTAGCAGCAGCACATCGACCAAGCTTGAGCACTGTTCCTTGGGACATGTCTCTTTCGACAACATCAAAGACATGGCATGGTTTACCATGGCTAACATGAGGCACCAGGCGAATGTGTACCATGATTTGTATGAATGAGTATTATCTCGAATGATTAAAGCATATCCCATCATCATCATCTTTATATATCTTTTTGCACCTTTGTCTGTGCATGACATTTGTATTGGGACCAGCAACTTAATCTTGCAGCATTTCAATTACGCGTGGTCTCCATGTGCACAAGAAAACGTGGCTGTATACATAATCCAATGAAAATTTATGCTTAGATTTACCCTAATCTAAAAGACCACCGATGTGATTCAAAAATGCTTATTGCTTGAAACCTTCAGATCCCCGTGGTATTAGCAACAAGATGTACTAGTTTCCCCATGGTTCCTGAACAATGGATGGCTCATTGCATGATAGGCAAACATGTCTCATTTCAACAAGCAACAGGGTACATTGATGATGATGATGATGTTACAATAGCTACTGTTCCAGTTGGGTTGTGATCTAGTCCAACGTTATCTGCTGTAACAACGTGCCATTTGCCATCCAATTTGCATGATTGCAACAACGCAGGGTTGAATCACTTTAAAATACGCTCTTGTATTACCGCTTCTCATGCATGTTGAATGATGAACAACCATCATCTCATATGGTGGTTTCTATGTAGAGGACTTTATTGAAACTTTATCCTGCCCCAATCTTCTACAATGCAGGCCTTTTCCTATCATGCGATATGGAGGCCCTTTTTATTCCACGTGGCTGTAAAAAGCAAGCTCCACCAAAGTCTCCTACTTGATTGACTGATGATGCGCATGGTATTTCTTGGTGTCATTATCATGCTTTTTTCCGGCAAAGAGCCGGTGCAATAAGAATGTGCCGATATCTAGTAGTGTCATTGTCATGGCAACTGTTGGTGGTATCATGGTAGCCATCACTGATGGTGGTGGCCATGGTTTGATTCAGACTCAGAAAGCTTTTTGAGGAAAGGTCCATGAATTAACTTGCCCACACACAACCTACTCCTCCACGGCTCTCGAGACCATCACCACTATTTCCGGACCATGGCATCTGCAGGTACGAAACAGCATGGGGATGACCGAATTGACTTTCAAGCATGAAGAAGCTTACGATTACGACTGTTTTTACATAATACTACAGTTTTTATTCTTGACCTCAAGGGCAAAGTGCTCATCTCACGAAACTATCGCGGTGACATTCCAATGAGTGCTGTCGAAAAGTTCATGCCTTTGGTATGTATATCCGATGCTGCTAGGCGACCACCATGACGACTGGATAATGACATATGTAAACCCACCCAGGTATCCGAGGCTGAGGACGAGCAGGTGCCTTTGCCGTGTTTTACCCATGATGGCATCAGTTATCTCTATCTCAAACACAGCAACCTTTACTGTACGTAACTATCAATGAATCATATGCATGTATTAACCACATTACTTCGATACAGTGTTGGCTCTTACAAGGAAAAACACCAATGCAGCTTCGATCATGCTTTACCTTCACAAGCTCACACAAGTGTTTTCCGAATATTTCAAAGAGTTGGAGGAAGAATCGATTCGAGACAACTTTGTTATTGTTTACGAGCTGTTGGATGAAATGATGGACTTTGGTTATCCACAAACGACCGAGACAAAGATCTTGCAAGAGTAAGGGATTCTCGTGGTCTATGGTTGTGTTCGTTGTTTGCTCATCTCGACCAAAGATACATTACTCAGGATGCATACAAGTTGGAAGTACAAGTTCGACCCCCTATGGCTGTCACCAATGCTGTATCTTGGCGTTCAGAAGGCATCAAGTATAAAAAGAATGAGGTGTTCCTGGATGTCATTGAAAGCGTCAATTTATTGGTATGAGTCACGTGAACACAATCTTGGATTCGATTTTGGTGCTCACCCTTTTTTGATCAGGTGAATGCAAATGGCAATGTGCTTCGTAGCGAAGTGCTTGGCGCTGTCAAGATGCGATGTTATCTCTCAGGGATGCCGGAGTTGCGATTGGGATTAAACGATAAGGTTATGTTTGAAGCTACTGGACGAGGTATGTATGCAGCATCCAAATAGCCGATTGGAAAAAAAAGTATTGATGGTAGGATGGTAGCAAGCAATGCGGCAAAGGCCATTGAAATGGAAGATGTCAAGTTTCATCAATGCGTACGCTTGTCACGATTCGAGAATGATCGCACAATCAGCTTTATTCCTCCAGACGGCGACTTTGAGTTGATGAGTTATCGGTTACAAACTTCTGTCAAGCCATTGATATGGGTGGAAGCTGTCGTTGAGACATACTCGGGTTCTCGTGTGGAATACCTCGTGAAAGCTAGAGCCCAATTCAAGCGAAAGAGCTCTGCTAATAACGTCGAAATCGAAGTACCCGTACCTGACGATGCCGATACACCCAAGTTCAAGGTATAGTTACGAAAGGTGATACATTCATTATATGCATATTAAATGATCGCATAGAGCACAAGCGGATCGGTATCATATAAACCTGAAAGATCGTGTCTGGTTTGGAAGATCAAGCAATTCCAGGGTGGTAAAGAACTCATCTTGCGTGCTCATTTTGGATTACCGTCGGTCCAAGCAGGTATGTTATTATGAGGAAAGAAGGATGGGGAAAGTCATATGGACTCACGTATCATGTCTTTCTAGCTGAAGAAACGGAGCGAAAACCACCTATCAATATCAAGTTTGAGATCCCTTATTTCACTGTATCCGGTATCCAAGTACGGTATCTCAAGATTGTAGAAAAGAGTGGTTACCAGGCACTTCCTTGGGTACGATACATTACGCAGAACGGAGGTACTTATACACATCTTATCACTGGAGAGGAATCAATGCTTATTGTATTATCATGTAGAATACCAAATGAGGATGCCTGAAAGTATTAAGCAAAACAAGCATATCCAGGATTACTAGTTACCAATAGAGAGTATCATAACAACGTCAATCACATGATAAAGTTGATAGTGTGAGGAAATGTAAATCAAAAGGTTTTATATACATGGCAATGATGGGGGAAATGATACATAGATGCGGTTCACTCTAAGCATCCTCAGCTGTTGATTTGAAAGGCGAGAGCTCCATATACTTTTTCAGTTGACGCTTTTTGGTATCCAAGACTGCCGTTTCGCGTTCAAGGATAGCTTCTTGTTCCTCTTTGACGTATTGAAGACCAGGCAACTCTTGCAATGTTCGTCGTGCATGTTCAAACCTTTCGTCCATCTGTGCCACTGCCTTGCCAATCTCTTCTTGGTTGTTCCCATTCAGCATGAGTTCAATGATTTGGTGGAAGTCTCGCATGAAGCTAAAGTCCTCTTTTCTGAAGGTAGGCGGTGAGGTATCCATGATGGTATCTTTGGTGTCTGTTGGCAAGGTTGGGGATGGTCGTGCAGACGTTGGGTTGGAACCTGACATGTTTAACGGCTGGGTATGTGAAAGAGAAAGGGAAATCACATAGCTCCACTCATTATCTCGGCACTTTTAATGCAGTCCTAAGGACCCTGATCCAATTTCGATAATACAGCTGTATCATACAACACATGTAGTAATAAGTAGTTAGGTCAACAACTTGTTCATACAATGATCCAATAAAGGTATATTTTATTTGGGATTCTAGATCAACAATGGGGTGTCCTATCACATAAAGGCGACAACAATGTTCCCATCCACGTAGTAGAAAGCCCATTTAGGCACTATCAAGTAGACTTGCAATCTCTATCAGGTATCCACATCCACCATGTAGGCTCTAGAATGATGTCCACAAAGGCAATGCCAATGGTAGATGCCAAAGCACACGTGACCGAATCGACATCAGGTACAAAAATAGTAGCAAGTCCAGCTGTCGTTGTCTTGGTATTTCTCCTCTTTCATTCCTGATATATATATATATATATATCAGCCCACAGCAACATATGAGTGACAAAGCCGACGTCGAGCATCCTTTGACTCCTACACGTGAGGATCAAGCAACGTCAGATGAATCCTTCTCTGTCATTTCTGAAAGTGCCGTTGCCGACAAGCCTGCCGATTCCGATGAGAATGAATGGAAAAACGTCTCGAGCGACAATTCAGACGACGATCAAGGCAAGCGAGCTACCAGCCACCCTCTCCAGCAAAGCTCTGCGATAGACGTGTCGGCCTATAGCAATGATACATGGTCTCAACAACAAGAGAGCTCGCTCCTTGACGCTGAAGGATTGCCCAATGCTCAAGACGGTGATAGTGGCGCCACCACTCCTGTAAAGGAACGTGAGATCGAATTGGATTCAGATACCTCTCATGTCAAGGTGATCATTTACCTACATACCCATATCAATGATCCATTCACTTATCCTATATACATTGAATAGGGCTTTGCCAACGCTGGTGACATTGACGGCATCGCTGATCTGGAGGTGGAAGGACAGCTCCCTGAATGGCTCAATGGAGAACACTACACTATTGGTCCTGGCACTTATGATATCAGATACACTCGCAAGATTGAAATCGATGGATTGCTTCAAAGTGCAACAGCTACCTTCAGCTTTGGTCATTGGTTTGATGGGTAATTGAAATAGCACATGACTCCTCCAAAAAGAATACTCACTTTGTCGAGTATAGTCTTCCTTTGGCGAATCGATTCGATTTCAACGGCAAACGCAATGCTATCACTTATCGCAGTCGGTTGACATGTCGACGCTTGGTGGAGAAGATTCGTGATCACCATGGCTATGCACCACCTCATCCTGCTGGTTTATTCAAGACCGATAGTAACCAAACGATGCTTGTCAAGTTTTTGAAATCTGCCCCAAAAGCCAACAAGCCCGATGCTGAACCTTGTGCTGCTCGTATTTTGGCTGGTATCCCTGGTGTCGATGGTCGTCTTTTTGCTCAGAATTATGCAAATCACGTATGTATACAAAGGTTTTTTCTTTAAAGAAAGCAGGGCATTTATTAATGTTATCTTTTAGATTCAAGAGCTTGATCCATTTGATCTCAAACCTACTCGAGTGCTCTGTTGGGATGAAGTGAATCCAGCATTCAAAGGCTATAGCTCATGTCCCAACGGCCAATACGATCCACAAACTGGCGAATACATCAACTTCACCATGGAGATAGGTTATCAGTCCACAAGCTACAACTTCTTCTCTATCAGCGATCGTAATCCAAAAGGAAGCATCATTGCATCTGTTACAGCTCCCACTGGCTACGTTCACAGCTTCTCATTGACTCCAAAGTACATTGTATTGGTGAGTTTGACTACGACAGCAAGTGACTCTCTTTATTGATCGATGTCCTTTTAGGTTGTCTTCCCCTTGTTGACAAATACAGGAGCCGTCAAGTTTGCATGGAATGAAAGCATCATGGATTCATTCTCATTTTATCCATCCGAACCCACGCTCTTTTACGTCATTTCAAGAGACAAGGGACAACATCTTGTAACTTACCGAGCTGATGCCTGCTTTGCGTAAGTGACAATAGGCCTTTATCTTTCAACATCCTTGTTCATGTAATCTTCTTTTTCTTCATAGATTCCATCACGTGAATGCCTACGAGGATGGCCATGACAACATCAATGTGGATATTCTTTGCTACAAGGATGCTACGATTGCACATCAACTTACGACCGAGAATATGCGAAATCCTTCTGAAATGAAACCTTCTCGCCTTGCATCATCCGAATTACGCCGTTTCGTTTTATCCAACATTGAAGACGAAAGTCTCAGCTACTTGACCAACAACAGTATCCTGCCAACAGCATCTGGAGTAGCTTCAAGAGTTTCATCCATGTGGAGCTATCTTCGCGGCACCAATGCAACAACGGATGTGGAAAACTCAACAGCTCAACCTTCTGCTGCTGCCGCTGGATGGTATGCAACGCTCCCTGTAGCCTCCTCTGGACAGTTGGTTCAATCATCCATGGAACTTCCTCAAGTAAATCCATTGTACAGAATGCATCGTCACAAGTATGTCTACGGTGTGGGTTTCTCGGAAGAAAGTGATGGCAAGATTTGGGATAGCATCATCAAGACCGTAAGTATACATCTACATCCCTTTTTTCTTCAAATATCCAAACTCACGCTTTGTCATCTTTAGGATATCGAAACACACAAGGTGACAGCAACATGGCATCAAGAAAATTGTTACCCAAGCGAAGCTGTATTCATTGGCAGACCATCTGCATCAGCTGACGAGGAGCTACAAGAAGATGATGGTGTATTGGTTAGCATTGTGCTTGACTCTGCACGGGCAACGTCATTCTTGCTTGTGTTGGATGCATCCAGTTTGCAAGTACTGGCAAAGGCCTACCTAGGAGTTTTGGTTCCATTGAGCTTTGGTCGAGGATCTTATAGACTTCGTACTTAAATGTTCTCGCTTTGTTGTTTATTTGTGATAATATATACCTTACTCGCCGATTCCTTTGGCATGCATTGATAGTAGTAATCCAAAGTCGTGTAAATGCACTATGAATGGTCGTTGCTTTTTTCGGTATTGCGTTCATCAATTATCTTGTTATAGAGTACATCCTTGTAATAGATCGTCAAGCTGATATGACAAAGACACCTTTTCATTGTTCCATAAGTACATACAAGAAAAATACAGCTAACGGCCACTTTTATCCAATACCAACTTTTGTCTACTCCATCATAATGGAACGATGCTCCTCCTCCAGGCATTCATTTCCTGATTTAATTATCTTGATCCGAGCTGATTTGGCTGAGCTACGGTCAAAGAGAGATTACATCAATCCATACATCAGCATACGTGCGAATGTCTCAGCTGATTAATCCTTGTTCGACCATAACTCAACCAAATCAGCTCGGATCAAGCTACTTGAATCATGGAATTGGATGTCTGGAGCAGGAGAATCATCCACCTACAATGGAAGGCACAAAAGTGCTGAATGCACAAAAGTAGCTATTAGCTGCCAATGTATGACCTGAAAATGAGGGTTGCGTACCTGTCATGCATGGTCCCTGAAGTCCTGACTTTTTAGCTGAGTTACCCAAAGAGGTCCTTCTGCATCTTTTGCTCTGCCAGGGTCCACCTACTTGACAATGAACAAAGACCAC